CATCACTTGTGATCATCGTCCGGCCACCATCACCGAGAACGCCTTTCATTGCAGCGCCGCCACCGATCATCACCACCATCGACCGCCAAGCCACTGCACCCTTGCTGTCCGTCACCACCACCAGCAACCGGTGGCGACCCGAGCATCACAGACCCTCATTCCCGTCGTGATCATTGCTCTCTCGGCCAGCAAGCCCCAGCGAGCCGTCGTCACCGATCGCTGCCCGTAAGCTCCGACTGACGAGCCGTTGCAACCCCTTGTCAAGAGTGCATTCACGAACCCTTGTTGTTCGGGCCGCTGCAGCACCTTCATTCCGACGAGACGCGGGAATCCGTCGAGCCCGACAACCCCGTTCGTGTCCTACGTCCCGTTTCTTCGAGTTTTCCCGAGAACAGTACCTAGCCGGACCTCGTCTCATTATATCGTATATATTGGTTGCATTACGTGTTTATTATATGTGTTTTGGCATGTTCTATGAATTAATTTAAACGCCCTATGATTTTATGTGTTCGTTGGAATCCCCCCTATATATTAATTCAGAATGTGCTGAGCCTAAGTGGCAGGCTCACATGCTTAGGAATCCTATGTGTCATAGTAACATGCTTTGTTATTAGGCTTGGATAAATTTTAATTTACTTCCAATCCAAAAATAATTAGGTTCGGATTACCATAAATATGTTGATTTATTTATGATCATTTTAGATGTAGTAATTATATTTTAATATCATTTCTTATTATAACTATTGAATTGTAAATTTATTTTAAAAGTTGATAACTTTATTACTGCTTATCGATTTTACATATATAATATATCAAATTAATCGTTTTTTGATAAGCTTCTATTTGACATCCATATTGTATATATAAAATAAATAAATTATATTTATCTTTATAATAATAATAATAATTATTCATTAAAACTAATTAAAAAATAAAAGTATTTCTCAATTTATATATTTATGTTTATATTTATGTTTACTGTAGTTATATGCTATACGTTAGAAAAATTATTATAATATAACACATGTAAGTCGCACAAGTAACAAGTGACATACTAAAATATAAAATAATATATATTTCTTTATAAAAAGTATTTAATTTTCAACAACCTTTTCTCACGAATTTTAAATTCTAAGAAAAAAAATTTAGCAAACACCCATGTAATACACGGGCATTGTACTAGTATATATTAAATTTAAAATTACAAAAAAAAAGACATGTAGAATTAATTTGTAAATTACAAAAAAAAAATGTATATTTGGAGATGTTGTGTTTTGATCCCCGAATGCCATAGTCAAACTTGGATGATAATACCATTGAGCTACATCTCTTTATTTGTAATACTAAACGATTTTTTCATATATGTGTTAAAAAGAAACTGAATATAGAAAATGTGACAAAAGATTAAAAAGTAAAGTTTTAAAAGAATCAATTACTTTTCTAAGTCTTGACATTGTTTTTATTTTAAACTAAAATGTATTTTTAGTGCATTAATATTAATTTGCAGTAATAATTTTTCAAAATAAAATAAAATGTTATTTACAAAATTGATATATACATATATATAAATAATTTACCATGTGAAATGTCAATATGCGCATGTGATTTTAAAATCATTTAAATTTACAATTACCGAGCATATCTGTGATACCTATATTAAAATCTATCATACATGTAAATAAGTATTGCAAATAGAATTAAATAACAAAGTGAAAAATCTGAAAAAATAATAAATAGAAAAGATGGAATCCAATCACTATGTGAAAAACTTGAGCAAATATAATAATATTGGAATTCACTTACACATTGAATATATATTATATTTAAAATTACAAAAAAAATAGAATTAATTTGTTAATTACAAAAAAAAGTAAATTAAAAGATGCGGGGTTTCGAACCCCGAATGTCATACTCGATCCTCGATGATAACACTGTTGAGCTACATCTCCTTATGTGTAAATATCAAGCAATTTTTTTCCTATATGTGTGTTCAAAAGAATATCAATATAGAAAATGTGACAAAAGATTTAAAAGTAAAGTCTTCAAAAAATAAATCACTTTTTTAAATCTAGACATTGTTTTTATTTTAAACTAAAATGTATTTTTAGTGCATTTATATTATTTGCAGTAGTAACTTTTCAAAATAAAATAAAATATTATTTAAAACATTAATATATACGTATATATAAATATATTTACCATGTGAAATGTCAATATGCGCATGTGATTTTAAAATCATTTAAATTTATAATTTCCTAGAATATTTATAATACCTATATTAAAATCATTTACCATACATGTAAATACGTATTGCAAATAGAATTAAATAAACAAAGTGAAAAATCTGGAAAAAGTAATAAATAGAAAAGATGGAATATCATCACTATGTGAAAAAAGATGATCCGCATCAGATGTCATCTTTAATGAAAGAGTGATATATAAGGACCGACATAACACAGTGCCAGCAACTCAGAAGCGAGTGGGCCAGTTTATGCAGAGATGAAAGGTATCCCAGACATTCCTATAATAAGGAATCTCCTGTGAGAGGAACCAAATGAAGAAAGCGGTGAGCAATCAGAACCTTCTACTCCGATTCCTATGTTGAGAAGGTCTTCCCGGTCCCATGTACCCAACAGGAGATACATGGACTACATGTTGCTCGATGAAGAAGAACCTGAAGATTATAGGGAGGCTTGTCAAACCGCGAATGCTAGCAAGTGGGAGCTTGCCATGAAGGACGAGATAAAGTTCTTGATCTCAAAATCAGACGTGGGAACTAGTCAAGTTACCCATCAGAAAGAAAGCACTTCACAAAAAATGGGTGTATCAGGTGAAGGAAGACCATGATGGTAACAAGATATACAAAGCCCAACTGGTTAATAAAGGATTTCAGCAGAAAGAAGGAGTTGACTATACTGAAATCTTTGCTCCAGTTGTAAAGCTCAATACTATCAGAACTGTGTTAAGTATTGTGGCTTGTGAAGAGCTCAATCTAGAGCAGTTAGACGTAAAGACTGCATTTCTTCACAGAGACCTAGACGGGGAGATCTATATGCACCAGCCTGAAGGTTTTTCAGAAGGAAAGAAGGATATGGTGTGCAGATTGAAGAAGAGCTTGTACGGCCTGAAACAAGCTCCAAGGCAGTGGTATAGGAAGTTTGAGAGCTTCATGCACAAGGAAGGTTTCCAGAAGTGCAATGTTGATCACTGTTGTTTCTCCAAGAAATATGAGTCCAGTTATATCATATTGCTACTTTATGTCGATGACATGTTAGTAGCATGATCAAATATGAAAGACATCAGAAATTTAAAGATGCAGTTGTCAAAAGAATTTGACATGAAGGACTTAGGCCCAGTGAAGAAGATTCTTGGAATGCAAATCATGAGAGATAAGCAAAAGCAAGTTTTGAAGTTATCTTAGGCAGAGTACATCAGCCGTGTCTTGCAGAGATTTAACATGGACAAGGCCAAACCAGTCAGTACACATTTGGCCAGTCATTTTCGTTTATCCAAGGATGAGTCTCATCAAACAAATGAAGAAGAAGAGTTCATGGCTAAGATTCCTTATGCTTCAGCCATTGGAAGTTTGATGTACGTGATGGTCCGTACGAGGCCAGACAGTGGACATGCAGTGGGAGTTGTGAGTAGGTTTATGTCAAAACCAGGAAAAGCTCATTGGGAAGCAGTCAAATAAATCTTGAGATATCTACGGGGCACAACTGAAAAATGTTTGTATTTTAGAAAAGGAGATCTAAAGTTACAGGGCTACATAGATGCAGACTTTGGAGGTGAAGTTGATCACCGAAGAAGAACCACCAGTTAGTTTTTCACTGTCGGGGCTACAGCTATTAGTTGGATGTCACGGATACAAAAAATTGTTGATCTATCCACTACAGAGGCTGAGTATGAGCAGTGACAGAAGCCAGTAAAGAATTGATATGGCTTCAAGGATTGTTAGCAGAGTTGGGTTTCACTAAAAAAGAGAGTGTCTTGCACAGTGACAGTCATAGTGCAATACATCTAGCAAAGAACTTAGTGTTTCACTCTATAACTAAGCACATTGATATACGTTATCATTTCATCGGATCTTTGCTTAAGGATGAAGTGTTGACTTTGAAGAAGATTGTAGGAATCAAGAATCCAGCAAATATGCTAACGAAAGTGGTGACCGTTGACAAACTGAAGTTGTGTTCAACTTTAGTTGGCCTGCTAGAGTAATAGACCGGAGAAGACAACTGCAGTAATTGATGTGTGAGGACAGATTGAAATCAGTCCTCAAGTGGGAGATTGTTAATCCACCTATTTTGACTAAAGTGGCAGCCACCACTCTTAATATAATATGGCAACAACCATCTTCATTTGACAGCCCCAAATTCTTGAAGAATGGTAGCACAATTTTGTTGAAAAAGAGGGGTCCACTTCTTTTCTATAAATAGAGGAGGATTTTTTATGAACAACACAACAACACAGGGAGAAAGAGAGAAAAAGAGGGAACACGAAGTGAAAGTTGTAGCTTCTATGTGTATTTGTGTTGTGGGTTATGAGTGAGTTTGAGAGTGTTTTGTAAACACGAGTGTATTTTTCTTCGTAATAAAATATCTGCAGTAGTCCGGAGATGTAGGCATTATTGGCCGAACTCTGTTATCAAATTGGTATGTCCAATTTTTTTTTTTTATTTCACTTTGATAGGTCCGACTTCATGGAAATTTCAGCGTATTTTTCCCAACACTGACGGTTACAAATCCCGACGGAATATGACTCCGTAACGGGACCGTAACATCTCTCATTAATTATTGATGCTACATTTTCCAATTGAAAGGGGAAGGAATCTTATGTTACAACAAATATAGTAACAATGTACGGCCTACATAAAAGTCACTGCCCACAAATACGCCATTCGTCGAGGCGCCACCCAAATTTGTACTACACACAGCCCCTCCCCTCTTTTAAAATTAAGAAAAAAAACACATTTATAACTCCAATAAATTATTTTGATAAAAATGAGCAGCAACAGCTGGTGGAGATCAGAGAATGAGGGGCTGAGCAGGACATTTTTAAGCTCCGCTCAGGACAGTTAATTTCTTTTACCCTGACCCTTATGACTTTTACTTTTTCTTTAGTTGCCCTTCAAGGTAAATTAATTCTATTTTCTTGCACGAAATTCTCAAATGTTTTATTTATTTATTTATTCAATGTTCAAGAGAAATAATTTTAGTATTTAGAGTTTGATGCTTTGTCAGTTGTTCATGTTTTTGTTACTGTTTTTACAGTGGATGCACCACTTACTCTGTCCTTCTCGACTTACATGTACCTGGCCGTGGTGTATGGGAACATTTTGATATACCGCCGTAAAAAGTTGTTGGTAAAAAAATGTTTCATACATACATACAATAAAACTAGTGAAAATAGTTTTCACAAAAGTAGTAATTTATCAAGAATTTACAGTACAAAATTGTTATGTGAATTTCAGGTCCCTTGGTATTGGTATGTCGTCCTGGGATTCGTTGACGTCCATGGGAAATACATCGGTAAATACGACATTCTTAAGTCGACATGTTTTGAAATACAAACTTTTTTTAAATAAAAGACAGCGATTTTAACGTGTCGATCATTCAACGAAATAAAAGATGAATAATGAATATAAAATTTGATCTAAAAGGTATTGATTTTAAGGAGACACCCTTGAACATGTTTAAAATTAAATTTCATTTCATAGTGTTTTTTTT